TTACTGCAGAAATGACTCATTGATTAATAACCAAGTGTTTACTCCAGCAAAACTGCATGTAACTAGGCGGTTAAGTTGTGTTTTCGATGATTTACCTTCTACAAAAATCTGGCATGTCTCGCACCCCCAGAAAGGGAATCTCGCACCCCCAGGGGGTGTGTGCACCCCAGGTTTAGAACTATTGTATTAGACAATAGAAAAATGCAATTTCTTCTGTTTTTTACAGTGGAATATTTGTAATAAAATAAATATAAAGTGAGCACTGTACACTTTGTATTCTGTGTTATAATTGAAATCAATATATTTGAAAATGTAGAAAACATCTAAAAAATTTAAATAAATGGTATTCTATTATTAACAGTGTGATTAATTGCAAATAATTAATTGCTTGATAGCCCTAAAGAGAACCTTTCTTTAACTTGCTGTAAAATAAAAATAAAATTCTATTGGAAAACTTGGACATGCTTTAAAGCACAGTATATACTATCATTGTATAGTGAAAGCGAATGGAAAATTATGACGTTAGTACACATTCAAGTTAGTGAGAAAATAAATTTAAAGTAGAATATCATTGCCTGTCCTAAATTAGCATAGTATTATACAAACTTTTATGTTACCAAATTTGAAATTTTGTAATTCATTTCTATCTGAGCCCCCTGCTATAATAATTCTCTGTATTGCCTGCAGCTTTTACAGAATTCAGTTATTAAGATTACATTTTCCCACCCTCTCTCTCCAGTGTTAAAAGATCTTCAGAGGCTTATATTAATTCTTTGATACCAGAAGTCAGGAGTTTTTAACCTGATGTGCTAACTCAAATTGCACCGGTGATAATACGGGAGCTTCAGGCAATTCACCTGATCCCAAAGTACAATAGTGCATTGATTTTAAGTCTCTAGTTTGCTTCATGACTTTGTACCATTTAATATTCCTGGGTATGTAATGTGCTCAGACATTCTGCTCTCTGTAATTTTGGGTGAGGACAACGTTCAGGAGTTTCTCTTCTTATTATGGCTACTTGCAAAATATTTTGCTGCACTAATTAGATCCCCTGAGTCAATAGTGGTTTATGAATCATAGTTCAAAAGCAAGTTTTTTGAGTTAGTTTTTGATTATTCGGAGTATTTGATTTACTGCCCCACTCTTCTAGAACATACAACTGAATATTACTCTATCACATATGTGTTTCAAATGTAGTGATGTACATCTTTGTTAGTATGCAGCAAGACATCTTTGCTTCATTTACAATGGCCTCATATGATTTTAATCATTGCGGGGTATTTGAAATTAAAAATATCTGCAGTGTCTCAGATACCAGTGCGTAGTAAGTGTTGGTAAATGTTGACTTTTTAAATGGAGACTGCTGTATCTATTGGTTATGTGCTGAGGTGACAATGCTCCATGCAGTGCCGGCTGTAGGCACCAGCAAACCAAGCACGTGCTTGGGGTGGCACAATTGCAGGGACGGCATTCCGGGGGCAGCAGTTGTGCTCTCGGAGGGGGGGGGGGTGTTTTATTTTTTGTTTTGTTTCTGCTTGGGGCGGCAAAAAAACTAGAGTCGGCCCTGGCTCCATGGTAACAACAATTATAGCAGCCTGCATTAGAATTGTAGGAAATGTGAATCTGCGTTTGAATCAGAGAGATGTTCATCCCCAAGGGAGGGTACAGAGGAGAGTTTTCTTTAAACATCTTGTTTGCTTTTTCTTTTGTAAAAAAAAAACATAAAGAAAAGCAAAAGAGAAACAAATTGTAGACTTAAAAGCATTCTGCCTTCTAAACATATTTCTCTAAGTGACAGATTCTATTTATTTGTTTGAAAAACATTTTAGGTATGAAGAAAAGGACTACATTAACTAGAGAAGATACGAGACACAAACAAAACATCTTTAATAAGGGCACTCTTGTCCTTTTTCATTCCAAATCTACCTTTTTTACATTGAAACAGTTCCATACAACACTCCCGAAGGCTTTGTAAACTATTTTCAGATAAATGAATACAGAATATGGGCCAGATTATTTACTGCATATCAGGGAGCTGGTTATGGCTCCCCGATTCTCTTGCCTCAGCCCACGTTAGAGCAGCCTCTAGCCTTCTCTAACATGCACTGGCTGCCTACGGTCCTCAAGGGGACTGCAAGGGAGGGAGGATTAGCAGCCAGGTACTCCAGCTCTGTGCCTTCTGGACACTTGGGAGTGCAAACCACCTGCTTTAGACTGCCAGAGCAATCCCCTCTCATTCCCTTCCAAGAAAGCCCAGCTCTTATATTCTGATTACCTTTACAGTACTCTGAGAGGCATATTTTAGGAGAATTGAAGCATATATTGTTAGGGGTGATGGTCAAAGTTAAAAGTGGGGAATCTGATTTATTTGTGCTTCCTGGTTATTTAGTGGAATTATATATAATGGGGTTGCTGTTTCTTTTTTGATTTAGAAATACAATAAGAATTTGTCAGAGGTGCCTAGAGCATTTATTTAGGGGTGTCTTGTGGTTTTATAAATCTAAAGTGTAAATAAATGAATACATCTAGGATCTAGTGAATTTTTTTTTAAGAACGATACGTTTCCTGTAGTCCCCCTGCCAATTTTCGTGGCTTTACAATCAGATTTTTCTTTTAATTTGTTCTCTCTTTTTTTAATTTGTAAAAGACCCCACATAAACAAAAGGAAGCTCACTTTACAAACTGACTTGTTACATGGGGACGCAGTGCAACTGACTATATACAAAGTGCTGCTAAATGCCTGCAGTAAGCAACCTGAAAAAATAGTGGATGTGTTCTCTCTCCCCCTCCAATCCATTTTATTCATGATAACATGTAAAATGTCAAATGTTATTTTTAGGTGATGTCCTCTTAGTTCTATAAATGTTGGAGAAAATATCATGGGACTTCTTTGGTTTCAGTTACTTTCTTAAAAATATATCTTATGACTGCATGCATCCTATCCATCCGTTTTCATTCCAGGATAATGTTTTAAACATCGTAAATCAAATCATGGATGAATGCATTCCACATGAACGGGCCAACCGGGACTTCTGTGTTAAATTTCCAGAAGAAATACGCCATGACAACCTTGCAGGGCAGCTTTGGTTTGGCGCAGAGGTAGGTCACTGTTGTTTCTGTTACTTTGTTTTAAAGGAAGATTGGCTTATTGCATGCTGCTTGTAAAGTATATTTGAGGACTTGTATTTGAAATGTGTGGGCTTAATTTCTCACAAAAAAGCATATAAACTTGTAGATCAGTATTCAAACATTTACTTTGAAAATTAGTCTAATCAGTTGTTAATGTATAGTCTAAAAGTATTGTTTTGTTGTGGGTTTGATATCTGTTGTGCTTGTGAAATATTTATTTTAATAACTGTTAATATCAATTTGTCTTAATTTAAATAATGCATAGATACCCTTAATGTATTAGCATTTGATACATATTTCCTGTATATTGGGTCAATTTATATTGGGAGTTGTATTTGCCATGAAGGACTATCCCATGTAGGGTGTGGAAATTCTACAGATATCCACAGGTTTTCATGTCAGAGTAGTATCCTTTATCATGAGCCAAATTTATCTCATTCCTGGAACTAAACGTATTCTTTTAGGGCTTTCTATTCTATATCCTTCATTTGCATTGTATTAACAGCACTAATGACTGAATTATTAGAGATGCATACAAAATAAAAGAGCACCTATCCAAGATTCTAAACGCCCTTGCCATGAATTTTGAACAAAAATTAGATTGCCTGCAGAACAATAAACTCCCTTCTCTGACTCATCTGCTTTCTCTCAAAGGCCCACCTCTACAGAAGCCTGCGTACATAGGTGTCTTGCAGTATGCTCTGACATTTAATAGGCTTGGGCTATTCTGGACTGTAGGAAAGTCTCAGGGTCCAGTGCTCAGAGTCAATAGATATATATCAATGTACATGTCCCTTACTGATGTCGGGGGATGTGGAGCATGTGTAGACAAACTAACCACCCCTGAAGGCTCCCTCATGGCAATACCCAGCATTGCAACACTTCTGCCTCCTCTCTGGGCCTTTTGCAAAACCAACTACAGTTTCTTGACATTATCCTAATGAATCCCACAATCCCACTGTAAATTACCACTATAATTACAGCCAGAAACTATTGCTGGGTTTTTTGCATCTGGGGTAGAAAATGCTTGAGAAAGCATTGAAATAGACAATACATTTGGAGAGAAAAGGAGTTGAACCACATTCTAAATGTTTTTCTTTGCGTGTGTTACATAACTGATTGGTATTTTTGGCCCTTCTGAATCAGGCTTTCACTGGCTCTGTGCTGAACGGAGTTGCTGGTTTCAGAAAGTGTTCTATACCATGATAAGGTTCTGATGACTCATTTAATTGTAAACAGAACTAGGATCCATGATCTTCCGTAAATGTACATAGTACAGGAGACTGAATGTATTTGTATAAACCACAGTGAGATTAGCATGTACATTGTATTCTTGTCAGCATCCTCATTTTGAATCTTATTCAAACTGAGAATTGTAGCCATCAACATCTCAGACTTGACTTGTCTCTGCTTTACTGTAATTATTGCTTTGGACTACCTAGAGAACAAGAACAAGAGAGCTTGGGAGTGCCCTTGTATCACAAATCAGTACATCAAACTGCTGAGCAAGGTCTAGGATTACAGGTCCTCCTACAGAGCTGGAAAAATGCCTTCCATCTGCTGCTATTTGGCAGTCAAGAAAGAGACCCAAGAACAGGGATTGAAAAAAGAGAGAAAAATAAAAGCCTCAAGAATAAAATACCCTTTGTTTTTTTAATTTTCAACATATATTTCTATTAAATGCAGCAAGTATGATTTACTTCAACCAGGGCCGGCTCCAGGGCTTTTGCTGCCCTAAGTGGCGGGGGGAAAAAAAAAAGCCACGATCGCACTCGCGATCGGCGGCACTCCAGTGGCAGCTCCACCGCGCCACTTTCTTCTTCGGCGTGAATTCGGCGGCAGGTGCTTCCCTCTGAGAGGGACCCGCCTCCGAATTGCCGCTGAACAGCCCGACGTGCCGTCCCTTCCCCTTGGCCGCCCCAAGCACCTGCTTGCTGGGCTGATGCCTGGAGCCAGCCCGGACTTCAACATACATAGTTTTCCAAATCAAGGGATCTGTCCAGCCATGGAAAATATTCTATATCTTCTGTTATATTATATAGTAAGGCTTTTGCAATCAAAAAAACAAACAGAATGTTGGGAATCATTAAGAAAGAGATAGATAATAAGACAGAAAATGTCATATTGCCTTGGACTTTTCAGTTTGTAAAAGAGAGGACTAAGGGGGAGGATATGATAGAGGTCTATAAAATCATGACTGGTGTGGTGAAAGTAAATAAGGAAGTGTTATTTACTCCTTCTCATAGCACAAGAACTAGGGGCCACCAAATGAAATTAATAGGCAGCAGGTTTAAAACAAACAAAAGGAAGTATTTCTTCACCCAATGCACAGTCAATCTGTGGAACTCCTTGCTGGAGGATGTTGTGAAGGCCAAGACTATAACAAGGTTCAAAAAAGAACTAGATACGTTCATGGAGGATAGGTCCATCAATGGCTATTAGCTAGGATGGACAGGGATAGTGTCCCTAGTCTCTGTTTGCCAGAAGCTGGGAATGGATGACGGGATGGATCGCTTGATGATTACCTGTTCTGTTTCATTCCCTCTGGGGCACCTGGCATTGGCCACTGTCGGTAGACAGGATACTGGGCTAGATGGACCTTAGGTCTGACCCAGTATGGCTGTTCTTATGTTCTTAAGGCTTCTTAAAAGATACAAAGTGTGCCGATAAGATCTCTGTGAGCTGGTGAGCATGCACTGGCCAGTGTATGAAATAAAGGTCCCAACAGTAGCAGAAATTCAGTTCCTTTCTCCAGGGATGGGCTTATTTTTTAAACCAAACAGTCCAACACAAATCAAAACCAGAACATTAGCTCTTGTTGCCTGGCCCCTTCTGAAGCCTTTTCCTCTTAAGGCTTCTGCCCCTGCCCACATGGACAACCCCCCTTGTAGGTCCTTCCCCATGATCCTGGGCCTTTTGCAGGAGCCTTCCTGCTACCTTTAGTTCTCCCAAACTGAGCTGGCCTTTTATCTGACCACAAGACCTGTAGGGACCTGGCCTCAAACCCATCACTTGAGAGTCACAGGTGAGGCTAAGACCACTTCCCTTGTAGGACTATCCTGCGTTATAACATTTTCTTGGATAAAGTACAACTTTTTAATCCATTTTTTAAAATGTTATTTCTACAGTGCTTGGCTGCTGGTTCTATTATTATGAATCGTGAAATTGAGAGCATGGCTATGAGACCATTGGCCAAGGATCTGACCCGCAGCCTGGAGGAAGTTAGGAACATTATTCGCGACCAGGCCTTAAGGGATTTGAATCTTTACACAGAAAAAATGAAAGAGTCGCTTAAACATTTTGATGTCCTTTTTGCTGAATTTGAGTTAAGGTAACAGATTCAAAAATATATGTATCCTGAACAACTACACTTTCTTGCAGAAGAATCCTTTTTCTCCCTTGTCACAGATTTTGAATTTCTTTAGCAGTTTATACCTATTTATAACACTGTCACATCCTTTTCCCCTTCTATTCAGATTTAAAAAAATCAATAGCCACTTAGCAATCAGAATTTGCAATCTTCAAGTACAGTGTAATCTCTACATTAGCATACTGGTATGATATTTGGGAGAGATTTTCAAAGGCACAAATGGAAGCTGTAAATCTTCCCTATTAATAATGTTGTCAGGAGAAAGACAAATAAGAGGGCACATGATAAACGTGTATACAATAATGAATAGAGAGAGCAGAGCAGTAGCTTCTTTCTCCCTGTCTCATAACTCAAGAGAGAGGAGATATTTGATTAAATTAAAAGGTGGCAGATTCAAGACAGACAAAAGGAAATGCTTTTCACACAAGGCACAACTAAACTCTGGAATCCATTGCCAAAAACAAAGCAAGAATCAAAAAGGGATTGGAGATTTACATCCAAAACAAGAATATCCAGTATAATAGTGAATGCTGACATAAATTTAGGAAGAGATATTAAACCGCAGGTTTCAGAGTTAAAGTCAATCTCTAGGTTTATCAGAGACAGGATACTGGACTAGATGGACCATGAGTCTGTTTCAGTGTGCAGTTCCTATGTCCAGTAAAGGACCAGTGACTTGTGCACAAATATTGCATGCAAGTACTGCTTATCGGCACATAAACACGTATTTTTCAGTAATTGTACATAATTTCACACATACGCTAGACTTTATTATGCCAACATTAGAGCCCCTTAAATTCCACAGCCTGTTGATCAGCTATGTTTTGTTAATGTAATTTCATTTGGTATAGCATTAGATAAAATTCTTAATTTTATTCAATTACTGTGCTTTCAGAAAATGCAGAGTAAACGATTCTTCAATCTAGAGAAAGCAAAAAAAAAATTGGATGAAGATTTTATTGTTGAATATTTGTAATAGTACTTATGAAATTACTGCAGAAGTCTATGCTTCAGTAATAAATAAAGCAATTGAAATTCTTTTTATTTCCACTAAAATTGTAAAGTTCTCTTAATGAAAATTGTCAAAATTTATTGAAAACCATCAGAGTTCATTATTAAGATAATTTGACCTGCATTTCTTTTCCATTATGTTATATCTGATTGTGAAGGGGTTGAGAAAAGTAATTAAAATATACTCCTTTTTAAAATCTTTGAAGGGATTGAAAAGTAATTAAAATATACCTCTTTTTAAAATCTTTGTAGTTATGTATCAGCCATGGTACCTGTAAAGTCTCCAAAAGAGTATTATGTACAGCAAGAGGTAATCGTGCTTTTTTGTGAAACAGTAGAGAGGTAAGCACTTTTCAGAAATATGAATACACTTTTCTTTGCTGTATTTACCTGTGATCTGGCATATTATGCAAATTTCATACCTGTAATCTTTAGGAAGCAACATTTCATTTTCCTGGTGATTGTTCAAGTAAAAAATCAAAACACATTAGCTATTTGCAGAAATGTTTTGGCCTAACATAAAAAAAATCACTGTATTGTACTTGGAGTGCATGGTTATGATATATACAGTTAAGGCTGACTAAGCATTTCCATTCTAGAGACCATTTTATCTTGTACCTTTTGAGTTGAATTTTCTGGATCAGAGGCATATAGGGTTTTTTTGTTTGATTCTGGGGTTTGGTGTGATGTGGTAGGGAAAGGAGATTTGCGCAAAAAATGTTTAGGGTATTTTTTTATTTTGTTTTGAGAATGAGGGCACATACTTCTCCCATTATTAGAAAAAAATCTTGTGACTTTTATTTGGACAGCTCTAAAGACTCAGTGGTTTGGAGTACAAAGTTGAAATTTGTCAAAAGATAGTCCTGGGGGAGGAGAGTGTCCATGAAAACTGGTTTTGCTTTTGACTGCATTGGGAAGTCTTAAATTGTACTTTTTTTTTAATGACAATGGATTCAGCCTCCCACTATTCTAAAACCAAGAGGTGTGCTTTGTGCATGTATATACATGGGGTTATGGATTATACCAAAACAATTTTGTGAATCCTGTGTCATTCGATAACAATGATTTTACCTCCCTCAATGTGGTATTTTAATATGCATGCAAACACACTTGCACTTCTGACATTCTTTTGCTGTGTAGTCAAATTGTCTCGGTCAAAGAAAAATGGAGACAATGGCTGCCTGGTGGAAACATGGGCTTGGGAGAAGGAAAGGATGAGAGACATGGGAATTCTGAGCAGGGACTTAGAGGTCTGTTTGAATGTGGCTATGTTTCGTCCCTGGGGTGGTTTTCCACATCTTCTTTCTTTGGTGGTGGTGGGGGCTGGTCACAAGGAACCAGGTGTATCCTGTGTCCCCTAGTCCACAAGGGGACAGCATCTCCTCAGGTATGGCTCATCACCAACAACTCCTCAAGAATGGCTTGTCCATCCTTCTACAGCTGAGGCTCAACAGAGAGACTGAGATGGACTCTCTCCAACACTGCCTTTGACAGTAAATCATGGCACCACATCTGTCACCAGGGGAAGTTCATTAAATATATACAGGGCTTCTTCCTACTCTTTGCAAATTTTTCACCTTGGAGTTGGGAGTGCAGATCACTGAGCCATTTGGTTTCTGTTAGGTGGAGTGGGATTGACAATAGTCAAAAGAGACAGAGTTAATGTAGAGTGAGCTTTAAATATGGATTTTCTTCCTCAGTTTGCCTGGCTTATATCACAACATTAATTTTTTCATAGTTTTTCCTATTTAATTATTCAAATTTATTTATGAACAGCTAATAAGCTGAGAACATTCTCAAGAATGATTTACAAGTATTTTATTTACCTAGAGCTTTAAAGCTTGGATACCTCACTCAAGATATGATTGATGACTATGAACCAGCATTAATGTTTACCATCCCAAGATTAGCCATTGTGTGGTAAGTATTTATAACTTTTACATCGATTTGATCTAGGAATAATATTTTATTGAAAGTTTTGGTAAAGTCACATAGCAAAGTGTTTATTTGTTCATACCTGCTTGCAGCTGATTTTTATGAGCACATTCTTTCAAAGAAAGAACCAAAAAAGGCAGTAAGATCACAAAGGAATTAACAAGGAGTGGCATTAATAAAGCAACAAGTGCCAAAAGGAGAAAAGTCAGAGCAGCTAATTATGCAGACTAGGAACTGAGAGCAGCTGGTCAGACATCCCCCAGAAGGAAATGCAGAAGTGAAGGGGTTTAGAACATCACATCTTCCAAACCAGACTAGGTACTGTAAACTCATCTTTTATAAATAAATTCTTTAGATGCAAATATTTTACCTCCCTGCATAATTAACAGCTTTATCATATGGATCCATGAAAAACTGATTTTCAGTAGTAATCATTTAGTTTCCTTAGTGATACATACTAGAACCAACGGGACCTGCCATGGAATCTATTGGCATAGTACAGAGTAACAAAAAGTGAGTGAGGTACACACCTATTTCTAGAATGTGTTTACTGTATGCAACTGGATGGAATCAGAAAAATGGCATGTTACCTCTTGGCCCTTAATTTTTCTGCTCAGACTGCTGGGTGGAGCAAGCTTTTCCACTTAAATCAGTTTACCACAGTAGCACATATGAAATAAACAAGATGAATGCTCCCTAATGGATATTCTTTATTTAATAAGACAGCAATTTCTCTGGAGTAAAGGAAGCAAGGCTACAATTACTGCATTTTAATAAAGGTTATGGTTTTTTAAAGTTTGCATCGGGGTATTACTATAACTAGAATAGTTAGAAAATAAGAAACCTCACACCCTGCATGTGTAAATTTCTCCTCCAGAAATCACTCTGGCTCATTGCTCCTGTTAAGCAGAGTAATGTGCCTATAAATGTCACAGCTAACTAAATAAATAAATTAATTTTAGCATCAAAAGTCAGCAAGACTATGAGAAAGTAACTGCTCATCATATTAAACACCATTCAGAGTCTGCAGTAGCAGGAGGAAAACTCATACAAAAAAATAAATCTAGTCTGGCTGGAAAACCAAAGACTCTCTGAGAAATGGCCTTTGCCAATCCCAGATTAAAAATCAGTCTGGCTGCTCCCAGAACAGACAGTGAGATGAAAACAGGCATCACCACCAGTTGATATTCCTGGAAAAATTGTATCAGCCAGATACAAAGTTTCCTTGAATACTGGTAGGCCTAAAGTCTGGACTGTAGAGAGATAAGTCTTAAAATCTAAGGAAGATACATCTACAAGGTGCCATGCTTGTTAGCATACTGTATTTCTTTAGTGAATAAAAATCTTGTTCTTTCTAGCAACTGTTGCTAGTTAGGATGAGATGCAGTTGGATATCTGGACTGGCAGAGAGATCAAAATCTCTGGGGATCAATTCACCCAGCTATGCAGCATTGTGTAGGGTAGTTGATGTAGCATGAAATGCAGCTACTATACAATAAATTCTTCCGCTGAATGCCTGTAAACTTAAGGCTTGTCTATGCAGCCTGACAAAGGATGCCAGAGAGGTGAGATTTGTAAAGCACACTAATGGGCTGCACTCTAACTGCCCTATGTAGACCCTGATGGTATGCTCTAAAAGATACCTAAAAGGCATTTAACATAGTCCTGAATGAGGTATATTTTAGAGTGCACCAGCAGGATCTATACAGAGGAGTTAAAGCCCCGCATGTTAGAGTGCTTTAAAAATCATAACCCTCTAGTGCGCTTTGCTAGTGTCATGTAGACAAGTTCTTAGGGTAGAATGACAATTTTTGCACACATGGAGGATTGGGGAGACCAGTCAGTTAAGCGAATTGCATTTTCAGTACTTTAGTTTAATCTTCACTCTGGATCCTGAGGTTTCATTATTGGTTAGAGTCTTACACAAATTTTAAAATGTTGGTATGTTTTTACTATTAAATTATTTAACTTGAAAATACTCTTGTACTGGATTATTTTAGTCATAAACCATTTTGAACCCTTAATCCTCTGTTTGATAACAAAGCATTAGTTTAAGATATACTTATCAGGATGACTTTCTGTTAAGCTTGCTTACCTGGCATTGAGATGCTGTACACATTATACAGTATATGTTGCATAATGTCATACCAGATGTCTGTGAACTTTTAACCTAAGAGCTGGCTCGCAATGTTAAGATATAGATTTTTGTTTCTTTAAATAGTTTTGTTTTCATTTCCTTTTCTTTTTCATTAGCCACTAAGCTTCCTTTCAAAAATAATCAGTGAGATAAGAACAAGTAACAGAATTAACCTATAGCAGGGAAAATTTTGGTTAAAATAGGGAAAAATTAGCTACGAGAACAGCTGAGCAATAGAACAAGTTACCTATAAAGGTTGTAGAATTACCATCATTTGAGATTTGAAGCATAGATTAGCTAGTGCTCTGTCAATGCTGGTTTGGGAATAATTAGGTCAACTTGGCCATAATATAGGAGTGGGGGAGTAAAGCAATGGACTAAATCAGGGATTCTCAAACTTCATTGCACTGCGACCCCCTTCTGACAATAAAAATTACTACATGACCCCAGGACAGGGGACCAAAGCCTGAGCCCGCCCCCCACTGACCTGGGGGTGGGTGGGGGAAGTTGAAGCCCAAGGGCTTCAGCCCCAGGCAGGGGACCTATAACTTGAGTTCCAATGTGCAGGGCTGAAACCCTCAGGCTTCGGCCTTGGGTGGTGGGGCTCGGGCTTCGGCTTTGCCCTGGACCCCAGCAAGTCTAAGCCAGCCCTGGCGAACCCATTAAAATGGGGTCGTGACCCACCGTTTGAGATCTGCTGGACTAAATCATTTATTAAAGGTCCCTTAGAATTCTACTAGTCATAACAATGAGAGAGAGAGAGAAAGAACTGGAGACATTGGTTCCACCATACTGAATATTACGTTATCACTCGGTCCATTTAAAAATATTCAGGATTCTCCAGTTCTCTGCAGTCCAGTTTCTCTCACAATTCTGATTACATACTACTGGACAAGTTTACATTTAATGCTTTTTTCCCTGCCATTTCAAGGAGGGTAGGGGTGGGTGTGTCTGTCTTTCTGTCTATATCTGTTTATATTTGTTGTTGGTTGTCAGTGCAGTAAAATCCTCAAAAGTTTGTCCTCCCATCAGTGCACTAGGATTTAAAGGTGTAACTTCCTCACTTAAAGCACCCATGGCACCTTCTCTAGCCTGCTGTAAACTTTATCCTAAAATTTTATTACAAGTGGTTCCTCTAAATCCCCTCAAAAGTTTCTATTTTTCCCTGCCAGAAGGTGGGGTAGCATGTGAAATCCCATACCATCTGGTGCCAGAGGAGTGCCTATTTGACTATAACTTGGATAACTACTCTTCTTCAGACTCATCGATAATGAACCACTTTTCCAGACATTCTACTACATTGTGTTCATGTTTTAGAACAGTGGACTTAACCTGGGGTGCACGCACTCCCGTGGGGTGTGAGATGCCCTTTCTGGAGGTGCAAGACATGCCAGATTTTTTTATAAGGTAAATCATCGAAAACACAAATTAAGCACAGGCACACAAGTACAATTACTTTGTTTCATCAAACCTACGTCTTTATTAACATTATACATTTTTTAACGATTACTGCATTACATTTTAACTGCAAAATTAAAATAAATATATAATTCTATCTCTTTCATTCTATAGTTATGATATATCTAGGTTTAAAGAATTGACCTACTTGAACGATTTTTGGTAAGGGGTGTAAGAACATATTTTTGAGACCCCAAAGGGGTGCAGGCTGCAGTAAAGGTTAAGAACCACTGTTTTAGAAGATGAACAATAATTGCTGCCATTCAGTTTGTAAATACCTATGGGACTATCCTTATGCTGAATGGCATTAACTTGCATGGCAGTTCTAATGTTTATCTTTTTACTTATAAATGTCTGTCCATTTTAAGTCCTCTAGGAACATGTACAGTAGTAATAAACTAACTGAAAAATAACATACTGACCAATGCTAATCAAGACAAACTGCAGCTAATGCTGGATGACTCAGAGGAATGTTTTTAAATTATTTAATAAGAGATAGCGATATTCTGTTAATAATCCTAATAATCAACAATTAAAAAACGTACTGAGGAACTTGTCGAGGAACAAACTATTTCGAGGGAAGCAGACTAAAAAAAAAAAAGACTAAATGAATTCAGCTTATTCCACCTCAGTCTACTAGAATTAAAGGCTATGAAAAATGAAATGTGTATCTCATTCCAGTATTTAAGGCATGTGAGAAATAATAAAGTGAGACAGTCCAAAGGCCTCATGTTAGTAGAATTGGGCCAAATATCTCATCTTTGTTTCACAATATTTTCTCTCTTAAATTGTGAAAACTTTTACAAAACTTCTGGAAAGTATTTTCAAGCAGAAGTGTCTTTGTATGTTTACTGAGATATTGCAAAAATGTGCCTGATAACTTGATCCTATAAGGTGTAGAGCACTCTGGCCCTGATCCAGCAAATCACTGAAGCAGTCCCACTGAACAGGATCAGAGTACTCAACTCTTTGCAGGACTGAGCTCTGAGGGTGTCTCTACACTGTAGGATTCTTTCGGTGGCATGTGTGTACACGGATGGCATGATGGAGCCATTCTCCACTGAAAAGGCCCCACTGTGGAAGCCATTCTCCATTGCAGGAAAAGACTCTGGTACCAGGGAAATGCTCCAGCAGTAGAGGACAGTGGGGAAAGGCTGACAGCTTCCTGCTGCTGGAGCTCTCCTCTGCCACAGGGAAAGAGAGACTCCAGTGGTGGGGAAAGGCTCTGGCGAGGGTGGAGCAGCAGGAAAAAGTCTGAGCCTTTCCCCTACTACCTACCCCCTGTCAGAGCCTTTCCTTGTCGGGTGGCAGTGGAGAGAAACTGAAGCCTTTCCCCACTACCAGGGACTTTCACTGACATGTGTAGCCACACAACGCAGTATGCTTTTTTTCACCGAAAGTGGTGTGTAGTGCAGAAGTAGCCTGAGAGTGGCTCTGTCCAAAAATAATAATAATAATAATAATTAATAATAAAAGTATTTCACCTGAAATGAGTTTCACAAAAGCATACGAGCAAAACAATATAAAATGGTTCACCCTTTCCCAAGTGGCAAAAATTCATGTTTGATTGCTTTCAGAATGAAACATTCCCATGAAGTTTTGTCTTGTTGATTATATCACCAATGGGTTGCATGAAATCTAAGATTTCCCTTTCATCTAATTTCTATAGTTCTTCACTCCCTGAAGAAATTCAGACAGACCCATATCTGAAAGGTGCTAATTTAGTAACATAATTACTGGCCCAAGGAACATGGGTTTGCAGCAGTTAAAAATTTAGCCTGAGCAGACTCTAGTTTCTATCCAGAGAAAAGGTAATGCTTATTTTTCTAGACAAGACTTTAGTACCTGAGTCAGCAGCAATTAATTCATTGATGGCAGTCTGTCTCCTGAAATAAAGAAACTAAAGAATTAAAATTGGGTCTGTGGTAATTGGAGAATTGAGGTCTTCAGCCAGAAAGGATTTGTGAAAGGTGACTTTCAAATAGAATGAAAAAAATCCATTATATTAAGATTTATGTGTTGATTGCCCCCAATAAACAAGCTTGGCTTTTGGCATATTGACATAAGAACTCAGATGGCTAGCTCCAGTGCTGAGGAGAGGATACAGAATGGACCTTGCTGGCAACATGAGAGTAAAAAAACAGATTCTCACTAATACATGGAGGCCCAAACTAAAGTTGCAGAGTGACAGACCGATCTTTTTTTTTAAGGAAAACTTTTGGGCATGTTTTAAATAAATTATTTCATTATTTTGTACCATCTTTGGTTGTAAACACAAGAAACATAGCAACATTTTCTCAGAAAGCAAAGAAATAGCACTCAAGTGATTCCGCCATATATTGATTTTGTGCTCCAGTGGGATTTCATAGTATTGGTGATGATATCAGCCTATGATACATGCTGGAGTGTTTCAGAAGATCTTGAGCTGGCCATTCATGGCAGAACTGGATGGTAATGAACCAAAAATGGGGCAAAAAGTGAGTTTGTTATTATTATTGTGCTGAATGCCTCTATTAGTCTGTCTGAGAGATTCAGACCTCCTCGGAATTAATCAGCACCATTCTGAAGCGTAGGTGTCTTTTCAGAAGGCTGCCTTCAAAGTAATGAATATTTGCAAACTAAGTATATCAACACTGCAAAAACAAAACAAAACCCCTGTGGCAGCAAGTCTCAGAGCTCAGGTGGACTGAGTTGAGCTCACACTATGGGGCTAAATATAGTGAAGATGTTCCCGTTCAGGGCTCTGAGACCCGCCCCCAATACTACAAACCCTTATGCATGTGAGTAGTTTCACTGAAATCAATGAGACTACTCGTGCTTAAAGTGATGCACGTAAGTGTTTGCAGGATCAGGACTAAAGTTTCCTTTCTTTGGAAGCTTTCCTACAAGCAGTTAATTTCATTTGTAGCCTTGTAGTATGGAAATGTTACATCCTATAAAGCATCATGTTTCTTTCCTAGCACAGATGTTTTTTTACCATTTTGTATTTTAATTTGACTGAGAGAGGGAATGTTCAAGCACTGGCATTCAAAAGGGCCAAACCACCTGTCTAGAACCTATTTAGAATAGAAAGAAGAAGAAAGCTGGAATGTATCTTGGGACAGTAGAGTCCAAAATATTCTGATAATTCACTTACTTAGATATTAATTTCTTCTATACACTCATTTTCAGTTTTTCCAAGTCAGTTAAATAAATGAAGTAAACAATGGATTCTTTCTGTAATATGGTTTCATTGCTTTTCCGCCACATATAAAGGAACCAAATTCTTTGTAGTTTTTAAATATCTGTAACTTCTTACAAATAAAAGAAAAATAAGGTATCTGAGAGAGAACTAATAATTACATAAAATTGTGCATAATTATGCAACCAGCATCTTGAATATAATTTCAAATATTTGTTTATTGATGGTTTTCTGATTCTATACTCTGTCCAAGTGTCATAAAAAAGATTTATTTTGTGTGTGTGTCTTAAATACAGTGGGCTTGTAGTTTATTCTGAAGGACCATTGAACTTGGACCGCAAGCCAGAAGATATGTCTGAGCTTTTCAGACCCTTCCATACTTTGCTAAGGAAAATAAGGCAAGTAATAAAAGATTTCTGTTTCTTGAAATTACATCTTTCTTAGGGTGAAAAATGAGAGGACTAAAAATTACACATAAAAAGGAAAATGTTTCAAAAACTATTTCTGTGCTTAACTCTGTTACAATAATTTACCTCTTTTTTTCCTGTGTACCTTTTGTATACCCAGCAGTCAGTTGAGCTGATTTTCTTTACTCTGATATTTTCTAACTTCTTCCAGTTCTATTTTACCCCTTTTTTAATCATTTTATTATGTTTGTTTTTCTTTATTTTTGATAGTTATGATGGGTGGTGGATGGCTGCAATATTGAAGCTAGACATTTATAGTTTTCGTTAACTGTTATGTTTCTGTTTTAATCAGGGCCGGCACCAGCTTAACAAGCAGGTGCTTGGGGCGGCCAAGGGAGAGGGGCGGCACCTGCGGCAATTCGAGGGCGGCAGGTCCCTCACTCCCTCTAGGAGCGAAGGACCTGCCGCCAAACTGCCACCGCCGATCGCGGCTTTTTTCTCCCCCCCGCCCCCCAATTGCCGCCACTGGTCGCGATTGCGATCGCGGCTTTTTTTTTTTTGCTTGGGGCGGCAGAAATGCTGGAGCCGGCCCTGGTTTTAATTACATTTTTGTTTAACTCAGTATGATAAGATGCAGTACACAGGTATTGATTTATTAGATTTTTTCCATCTGTAATTTCTATTAGGTTAGTGGTTATCAGACTTTTCCATATTGTTGACCACTTCTTAAATAATAGATCATTTCCTGCACACCTCTTTTCCCAACCTCCAAATCCCAATATCTCTTGGAAACTATAGTGTTTGGTTTAATTAAAAGTAATGACAGGATAACATCAGGGAGAAGGAATAGAGCTAACCTCACTTTAATGAGATGGTTGGTTACCTCCCTCCATTTTTGTCTAAACAGTTTTTCTGGGTGTAAGAGCTTAGGGTCAGATTTTTAAAGGTATTTTTGGCACCTGGTGGGATTTTCAGAAGCACCTTGGTGCCTAAAACTCCTTGTTTTCAATAGGTGTTAGGCAATTAGATGCTTTTGAAAATCCCATTAAATACCCTTAAAAATCTGGCCCTTACGGGCTAAATTTTCAAGTGACTCTATTTTGGGTGCCTCGGTTTTGGTGCCCAATTTGAGACTTTTTTAAAGGGGCCTGATGTTCAGAGTTGCTGTGCTCCCACCTCAAAAAATCAGGACCGTTTAAAGTGTCTCGGCTGAAATGCTCAGGCTCTTAATCACTAGAAACTTCTTAAAATGTAAGCCTCTGTTTTAATAGTACTGAATGTCCTCACACTGCACACGGGTTCCACTGCTCTAATTTTTTCTAGATCATTTTGCAATATGGTTCTGTTCCTCTATGTGTTTGCCATCCATTGAATTTTATGTTTAGCCAAAATTTGATCACAACTGAGGTTACAATACATCACAAACACAGAGAAATGAAGCTACACAAAGGGACTGTGCAGAGTGCTGAAAGATGTTTGTTTTTGTGTTTATTTTTATCAAAAAAGCTTCTAGAAATCCTAAAAGAATCCGGGACTAGGCTACAACTAGCAGAAAATAGCCCTGCTTAACAATGAACAGATGGTTCCCTGTTATGGAAGCAGGTCCACCTAGTTCATGGACCGCAGTTTGAGAATCTCTCTAATAGGTCATCTATTCCTTTATCCTGCATATGCAGGATTGTTCAATACAGAATGGGCCAGATTGTAAACCAGTGTGAAGTGGCTAAGCTTCATTGACTTCACCTGAGCTATCCTGATTTGCACAAGCTAAGAATCTAGACATGTATTTTTAGTGTTTTGTCTAATCTAGTTTTAAATGTCCTAAGCGATGGAGCTTGCACCATTTCCCTTGAGTCTGTTCCATAGCCTGGATCTATTCAAGGTGAGAGAGACTAGGTAATATCTCCTCCTCCAATTTACCTCCTCCTGCTTGTTTACATCTTTGAAAACCTTTAATTTTGTTACTGCTTTTCCCTGAACACCCTCTAGCTTGTCTAGATTTTTCTTTAACATGCATTATTATGACAAGGAAGAAAAAATATGTTGGACTAGGTTTTTCTGTAGCCAGAAGCAGTATGTGATTGTAAATTGCAATACTGACACTAAAATCAATCAGGTTATTATAGGTTATCTTGAACTGTACGGACATTGATATGTATACATAAAATTACAATTTTAATCTTTTCTTAATCTGTGAGACTTAATTGCCATAAGTATTTGTCCACTTTTCTCTCTGTTTACAGTTAATGATACTTTATTAGTTTGAGAGATTTAGATGGGGGAAATATTCAAACACACAAATTGATTTCTAACACCCATGGAAAGTCAATGGGAGTTAAGCACATAACTCCCATATGTGCCTTATGCAAAATGTCCCCTGATATCTCTGTCTAGAAGACATATACTATAGATATGCAAGTACATGCACAATATTGATCTTTTGGGTAGTTATCCTGTATCTCACTGCTGAAATGGATACACATTACTATTACTACTTTGTAGTTATATTGATTTAAGAAAGCTGGGCATAAAGAAACAAATTATTGAGATGCAGAATTGATAAGATGAAATTCTTTACCTAGAATAAAATCCTGAAAATACATTCTTTTGAATTTAGTGCTTACTGTGATGAGAAATCCCACTAAATTTTGAAGTCCAATTAAAGTTGCATTAAAACAAAAAGTTGTATTTACTTCCAGTACACAACCACAACAAAAATTCCTAATCTAAGTTGCTCACATCCCCTTAGATTAATATGGAGATAATGTTTAAAATTTATTTTACTCGTCACTATTTGTATATTTTGTCTACTATTCACATTTTACAATATAGACAATAAAATCAGTTAAATCAGTTTTTGCTTTTGCTTAGTCCATTTCATTTTCAACTTTTCAAATCTTAATTGTTGGGTTGCAGTCATATCAGGATAATGTATACTTGTTCAATAACAACTATTTCTAATGCCATCTTTTTTTAAAAATGGAAAACCTTTAGCTCAATCTTTAGTTTTGAAAAAGTCAGTTCCAACAAAATCTGAGCTTTGTGTCAAATTGGAGATTACAATATACTCCTTCTTAGGAAAGGGTCCAGATTTATATGATCTGGAGTCAGTTTGCAAAATATTTTCAGTGAAGCAATATTTATTAGAGAACAAAAAGAAAATCAAAGCAAATCATACATAAACTATGTGAAATTATGTATAAACTTTGATGTGGTTAACAGTCTAGCTAGATAAGTCCAATCAGGCAATTATTGCCCCATCAGAAACGTCCCTGATGAACTCTACCATCACCACTGTTCATTTAAAACAATGATAGAGCCATCTCCACAGGGTTCAGGATTTGCAGGGTCCTCAGCGCTTTGGTAGTAGGAAGGGAAGGTGCTCTATCTCCTCCCCCTTCCCTATGAGTAACTGCCTTGGGGTTGTTTCATGGGTTTTCTTTGCCTTGTGGCTGGTGAATTTAAACTCAGTGGGTTGCAAATACTGGACGGGGGGAGGTTTGGGGGGACATATAAAGGAGAGCAAGGGGGGAGGTCGGATGGGACATTTGTATTTCCATCCAGCAGTTAGACGTTAACTCACCCTCCAGCTACACTTTGGCTTTGTCACCAGTGAATGAGGGCAATAGAATGAGCTTCGGTGTGTTCTACTATTAAAATGCTCACATGCTGTATTGCAGGGGTCAGCAACGTTCGGCACGCGGCTTGCCAGGGTAAACACCCTGGCGGGCCGGGCCAATTTTATTTATCTGCTGACATGGCAGGTTCAGCCGATCGCGGCCCCCACTGGCCACAGTTCACCGTCCCGGGCCAATGGGGGCAGCGAGAAGTTGCGCGGGCGAGCGATGTGCTGGCCGCGGCTTCTCACCGCCCCCATTGGCCCGGGACGGCAAACCTGCCGCGTCAGCAGGTAAATAAAACTGGCCCAGCCCGCCAGGGTGCTTACCCTGGCGAGCTGCGTGCCGAACGTTGCCGACCCCTGCTGTATTGCAAAACTATGCTTACTGTAAGACTATAAAAAACAACATATTATTGCAGCACATTATTGAATCCTATCAAATTTCAGTGAAAAGTTCAATATTCTTTACCTATCAGCCAATTAGGTATTCATTCTTAATATAAAATAAAACACAAGACTTATTGAAATGCTTACGGTATGATTATAACACATCTGTCATGTTGAGGATCATTAAAGGAAATAACAGACACTGGGTTTACACTGCTCCCATTAGCTATTGTGAAATTACAGTATAACTATTGGATTAGTAAAGTGTCTATTGGCTAGATAAATCCATTATAATCTCCTCCTGGGTGTCTTATTGCTGGGTTGCCTGATTTTCAAAGGTGCAAAGCATCTTTGGAATCAGTGGGAATTGTAGATATCGAGCAGTGAAAATTAGGCTAGCAGTATTATCCTACTCTGTGTGCTATTTGCAAAAAGAATTGTACTTTTTTCAAGTTCTGGTGCGCTAGACCAGGAAACAAAATGTTTTAAATTTTTAATTGAGACACATACGAGATGCATATATTATATTATAATTATATTAATATTAATATTAACGTGGATACATACAGTTACTCTGCAGAAAAGTAGAGATATAATACACACACTGTCATTACTGAATAATTTCAGCCAGATCTAAAATTCTGCAGATACCTTTATCTTTAATCTTTTATCAAAGCTCTGTGTCCACCTAGGGCTTGATCCTGAGCCCATTGAAGTCAAGGCTCCCGTTGACTTCAGTGGTTCAGGATCAAGCCCCTAATAATCATATCAGTACATCATAAATACTATAACACCTCTGAATCCATTTCATACCATTTACTGTGAATGAAAATGTAATACATTGTATTCCCATCTCAGAATGTTGGGGTGATTTTGGATTTCTGCCATATGCAGCCTAGTTGTGCAGAGTGGAGAGGGTAAGGGTGCATATCAGGTCTGTTTTTGGAGGGTGGGGTTTAGGGCGAGATCAGTTAATTGGAAGCTT